AGGATAATGGAAATTAAAAAGGACAAAACCTAATTCAAGTAAAAATTGATTTTATATCTCGCTCCGGAGCTTCCCGGAAAAGTGCAACGAGTGAACTTTAATGAGTTTGTTCGTTAAAACATGCACTTTGGTTAATCCCCAATTTGGATCTACGTAAGAGCGAAACTCGTGACTCTGTATAAATGGTTACGAAATAAGGTTGAGTTTTTTAATCAATGTTTTATCAATTTGAATGTTTCATTATCTCGATAAAAAAATAGTGTTTTTTATGTTTTGATATGATGAAATTTTCTTACACAGGGCTCAAAATTTCAAAGTAGTCGGTTGGGAAGTTTCGAGGATCGTTTGTCTACCAACAATTTAGAACATCGTTTGTGGGATGAGTACCAAACGTACCATGAAAAATCGCAATTTCAAATTCAGTGTAAAATAAAGGTTGTTGACACTGTTTCCACACAAATATATATCATAAATTAATCGCAATAGTAACGGAAGTACCAAATCATATTTATTCACATAACGTCGTTAATAGTAACGTGAAATTAATGTTTTCATGGTAAAATTGAGTACGGAGGTGACCCATGATTCTTCAAAATGAGTACCAGAAGTACCAAAGTACAAAGTACGTTTCAGTAGAAAAGTACAAGTATTAGTGACATCCGCTCCTAATCAGGGGACGCCGAGATTCTTTCAAACTCCTTCAAGAACAAAACAAAAGGAGTCCGCGAGATTCTTTCAAACTACTTCAAAAACCAGACCTAAGAGATCCCCGAGATTCTTTTAAACTACTTCAAAATCCAAACAAAAGAAGTCCCCGAGATTCTTTTAAGCTACTTCAAAATCAAAACAAAAAGAGTCCCCGAGATTCTTTTAAACTACTTCAAAATTAAAACAAAAGGGGTCCGCGAGATTCTTTTAAGCTACTTCAAAATCAAAACAAAAAGGGTTCCCGAGATTCTTTTAAACTACTTCAAAATAAAAACCAAAAGAGTCCCCGAGATTCATTCAAACTACTTCAAAATCAAAAGAAAATGAGTCCCCGAGATTCTTTTAAACTACTTCAAAATCAAAACAGCAGGGGTCCCTGAGAATATTTCCAACTACTTCAAAAACAGAAACAAAAGTGGTTCCCGATATTCTTTTAAACTACTTCAAAATTAAAACAAAAGTGGTCCCCGAGATTCTTTCGAATTACTTCAAAAATAAAACAAAAGGAATCCCCGAGATTCTTTCAAATTACTTCAAAAACAAATCAAAAGGAGTCTCCGAGATTCTTTCAAACTACTTCAAAATCAAAACAAAAAGAGTCCCCGAGATTCTTTTAAACTACTTCAAAATCAAAACAGCCGGGGCCCCTGAGAATCTTTCCAACTACTTAAGAAACAGAACAAAAGGGGTTTCCGAGATTCTTTTAAACTACTTCAAAATAAATAAAAAAATCCCCGAGATTCTTTTAAACTACTTCAAAATCAAAACAACAGGGATCCCTGAGAATCTTTCCCACTACTTCAAAAACAGAACAAAAAGGATCCCCGATATTCTGTCAAACTACTTCAAAAACAAAACAAAACAAATCCCCGAGATTCTTTCAAATTACTTGAAAAACAAATCAAAAGGAGTCCCCGAGATTTTTTCGAACTACTTCAAAAATAAAATAAAAGGAATCCCCGAGATTCTTTCAAATTACTTCAAAAACAAATCAAAAGGAGTCTCCGAGATTCTTTCAAACTACTTCAAAAGCCAGACACCATGGACACCGAGATTTTTAAACCTACTTCAAAAACAAAACAAAAGGGGTCTCCGAGATTCTTTTAAAATACTTCAAAACCAAAACAGAAGAGGTCCACGAGATTCTTTCAAAGTACTTCAACAACTAGACCTAAGAGTTCTCCGAGATTCTTTTAAACTACGTCAAAATCAAAACAAGGATTCCTCGAGATTCTTTTAAGCTACTTCAAAATCAACACAAAAAGAGTCCCCGAGATTCTTACAAACTACTTCAAATTCAAAACAAAGGGGTCTCCGAGATTCTTTTAAACTACTTCAAAATCAAAACAAAAAGAGTCCCCAAGATTCTTTTAAACTACTTCAAAATCAAAACAGCAGGGGTCCCTGAGAATCTTTCCAACTACTTAAGAAACAGAACAAAAGGGGTTCCCGAGATTCTTTTAAACTACTTCAAAATAAAAAAAAAGTCCCCGAGATTCTTTTAAACTACTTCAAAATCAAAACAACAGGGATCCCTGAGAATCTTTCCCACTACTTCAAAAACAGAACAAAAGAGGTTCCCGATATTCTTTTAAACTACTTCAAAATTAAAACAAAAGGGGTCCCCGAGATTCTTTCAAACTACTTCAAAAACAAAACAAAACAAATCCCCGAGATTCTTTCAAATTACTTCAAAAACAAATCAAAAGGAGTCTCCGAGCTTCTTTCAAACTACTTCAAAAACCAGACACATGGTCCCCGAGATTTTTTAAACCTACTTCAAAAACCAGAGTGAGGTTCCCGAGATTCTTTCAAACTACTCCAAAAACATGACAAGGATCCCTAAGATTATTTCAAACTACTTCAAAATTAAAACAAAAGGAGTCCTCGAGATTCTTTCAAACTACTTCAAAAACAAAACAAAAGGGGTCTCCGAGATTCTTTCAAAATACTTCAAAATTAAAACAGAAGAGGTCCACGAGATTCTTTCAAAGTACTTCAACAACTAGACCTAAGAGATCCCCGAGACTCTTTTAAACTACTTCAAAATCAAAACAAGGATTCCTCGAGATTTTTTTAAGCTACTTCAAAATCAACACAAAAGAGGAGGTCCCCGAGTTTCTTTCAAACCAAATTACTTCAAAAATCAGACACAAGAGATCTCCGAGATTCTTTAAAAATTACTTCAAAAACTAGACCTGAGGAATGTCCGAGATTCTTTCAAATTACTTCAAAATCAAAACAAAAGGGGACCCCGAAATTTTTTCAACCTATTTCAAAAACCAGACACAAGGAGTCCCCAAGATTCTTTCAAACTATGTACTTCAAAAACAAAACAAAAGGAGTCCACCGAGATTCTTTTAGACTACTTCAAAATCAAAACAAAAGGAGTCCCCGAGATTCTTTCAAACTACTTCGAAAACAAGACAAGAAATCCCTGAGATTTTTCAAACTACTTCAAAAACAAGTCACAGGAGGTCTCAGGGATTCTAATAAATTGCTTCAAACACAATACACAGAAGGATTCCCAAGATTTTTTCAAAGTACTTCAAAAACAAGACCGAGGATCCGCAAGATTAATTCACATTACTTCAAAAACAAGACAAGGAATCCCAAAATTGTTACAAGCTACTTCGAAAACAAGAATCCCCGAGATTTGTTCGCTGTTCGCTGAGATTCTTTCAAACTACCTCAAAAGCACACACAAGAGGACCCCGAGATTCTTTTAAAACTACTTCAAAAACCAGCCAGAGGAGATTGACGAGATTCTTTCAAGCTAAGTACTTGAAAACCAAAACAAAAGGGGTCCCCGAGGTTTCTTCAAACTACTTCAAAAAACAGGCACAAGTGGTCCCTCAGATTCTTTCATACTACCTCAAAAACAAAACACATGGGGTCCTCGGGATTTTCTCAAATTACTTCAAAAACCAGACACAAAATTTCTCCGCGATTCTTTCAAATTACTTCAAAATTCAATTATAAGAGGTGTCTGAGATTATTTCTTACTTCTTCAAAATCGTGGTACTCCAGAGCACCAAGAAGTACTATTTTTTTCGCCCCTAGCTACCATTATATATGGAGAAAAATATTAAGTACACTTCACGCAACAAAAACGCGAGCAGGTAGAAAATCTCGCTGTTCTACTTTTACAGATATTGACACGGAAGTGTAATTAGTAGTTAATAAGTACATGACGAGAGAAAAACCTACGCATACTTTAATGAGTGATTTTCACCATTTAAAGCAAAACGTGGAAAACTAGAAATCTTGTAAATTTTCTGCGTTGAATAGAATCATAATCTAGGAAATAATTAAAAAAAAGTGAAATTTTAAAAATATAAGTACTATTAAAGGTCGAATTACACAACTGGAAGCTTGGCCAGTCTGGCTTGCACCATAATAATAAACAGTCGGCACTTACAACTAGCTTTAATTTCTTCAACCACCAACCCAGCAAGAACAACTCGTTCTCACGCTGAAACTTTATCCCAACTATTATCCCCCAAGTTTGCTCGACAATCTTACAGCTGTATAAACATCACTTAACAAAACTTCCGCCGGTTGCTTGTTTCAAAAGACAATAAAATATCGTTTGTCTAAAACACGAAAAAAAGTGTGGTTTCTCAAAAACTGTACAATTTGTTGATTATCTGATATTCCGAATATTGATTTATTTTTTATCGGAGTGACACATTCCACAAGTGAAAAACTGGTTTTGGTATCACGTCCTTAAACATTACACATTTATTTACCTTTGATAGCGGGTAGAACTATTATTTTGTGGAAAGACTGAAGTGTTTATTTGGCTTGAAATTATGGTGCGAAAAATGTATTCAATGGTTTTTCTGAAAAACCTGATGTGACCCGGATGTGTAACTTATTTTTTCTGGCAACGTCCATGGCAAAGAATAAAATCTCACGTCATTCCAGTGAAAATAAAAAGTGTTAATTCTGTTGCATGGTGTAACCGCCGAAATGTAATTGATTCGTCTCGGTGAGTACCAGAAGTACCACTGAGACAAGAGTCGGAAAGTGTGAAGTACCAACAGTACCCACCCACACTGTTGTTTGTTTACACCGACTTTCAATGTATAATTCGGTCCACGTTCCGAAATGCCTATCAAATTTCTTCATTAATTATTCTTGGCGATGAGTACCGATTAGTCGGGTAGTACCAGTATTCCCGAGCTCCTACTTCCCGTCTAGACATAAACATTCGTCACGTACCACCGTATCTACCTCAAACCTGCGCTCCCTTCGCTCCCTGCACTATCACCACACCACACACACACCTCCTCCAGGTGCTGCATCTTGTACACCACTAGCGCGAACCCGTCCGCGAACAGCCTGCGCCCCCTTATCACTCTCAAGTTCGGGAACAGCCTCTTCAGCGAGCTCAGCTCCATCACTCTGTACAACAACAGGTAGTCCACGATCTGCGTGAGCTCTGGGAACGAATACCCGTCGAACTCCCTCTCGTTCGCCACCGCGTCCATCAGCACGATCTGCAGGTGGCCCATGATGATGGTGCAGTTGCGCAGCTTCGCCAGCGAGCTGGGGCTGTTGCGGACGTCCATCTGCGGGCAGATGCGGCCCTCCGCGAGCACCAGCGCGACCAGCGCGAGAAGTACTAAGTCGCGTTGCGGCATCGTTTCGACGTCATGCTCGACGCGCAGATCGTCGCTGACTGAGTGCGAACTCCAGGTCGGCACAGTCCGACTACTGCACGTTGACTGAGCGAGTGTGCCGGCGTGCTCTTCCTACGCAGGTCAGTTTTTCGGGTTTCCGGCGATGTAGGTCATGGGGACGTCGCGACGCGTTTTTATTTTCATAGTGATGAGCGGACACTAAGTTCATTGCCTCTGACGTAAGGTGGGCGGGGTCGCGTACGGCGGCGGCGTCGGAAGAAGACGCCAAAGACTTGGGTTCTGGTGCAAAAATCGACCAAGGTTGAGCTTCTGGAAGTGCTGGGATTGGTAAAGCAGTGCCGGCTTACACCGTTTTTTCGTTTTTTTTCAACAATGACTTATTAGTTTGTCAAGGACGTGCATTATTTGGTCGCGTGACGTTGCATGTAGATAGGAGCTCGATCTTGAGTATTAAGGAGGACGTTTTCGTAATTACTCGGGTCAAACAAAGCCTCCGTCAAGTACAATTACAAGATCTGACAAAGGCTCAAGTTTCGTGAAACTAGACCCAAGCGAGTTTGTGTGGTAAATTCACCGCCAAATTGAAACAAAAAATTGTTATTATTGTCCAGGTCGTGTTTGGCAGCAAGTCCAGAAACCATCCATCTCAGTTATTTTAATTATGACAAATTTTCCAACAGCAATTTATCACACAATCTGTCACCACATACATATAAACACTATAAACGGACATTTTTTTACATTTTGGATTTATATAATATATAATCCGGGTTTACGAGCGTCTCTTACTGTGAAAACCTGTCTAAATTATTACTTCCCGAGCGTAAGCAAAGGAAGTATTGTAATCGAGTCCGTCGGCCGACTCTCTACTTTTACGTTTTCTCGATCTTTCATGACCCCTAGAAGACGAAGAAATAGGTCTCCCATTTCCGTCTGTCTGTCCGTCTGTCCGTCTGTCCGTCTGTCCGTCTGTCCGTCTGTCCGTCCGTCTGTCCGTCTGTCCGTCTGTCCGTCCGTCTGTCCGTCTGTCCGTCTGTTGTCCCGGATTTTTATTAGACAGATAATCTCCGAAAGTACTCGACCGATTGTTGTGAAATTTTGTACTTATATTAAGAATATCATGTAGATGGTAAAACGCTAACCAAAATTTGTCTAATCATCCCCACCACTAATGCGATGACGTCACTTCAAAATTGTACATAGTAAATGGGTTTTCAATTGTATAAAATAACATAGTCCTACACATGTAGTTTACAACTCTGAATCGACTTTTCACCCGAAACGTCCAGATTTTTGAAAAAAAAATCAAAATTATAAAACAACATTTTGAAATTTAATTTTTAATCTGCTAACCAGAATGCTTTGAAATGTTGCAGATGTTTTAAGGCTATAAAGAGCATCATAAATCTTTAGTCAAAAAATATTTGCTTATCCCCTCCAAACACTTGATGACGTCAGCTCAAAAGTTTGTGGAATAAATCATATCTAAAATGTACAAAATATGATGAGTCTGTACTTGTGATCTATCACTCCATTCATATTTTTTGGATTTGCATATACAGGGTGACTCAAAAAAATTAATGAATGCGTAAATATATTTTATTGATTTAATCAGGAACTACAAAACCGAATGCTCTGAAATCTTGCAGATGTTTTAAGGTCATAAAGAGCATAATAAATGTTTAGTCAAAATATATTTGCTTATCCCCTCCAAAAACTTGATGACGTCAGCTCGAAAGTTTGCCGAATAAATCATATCTAAAATATACAAAATATGATGAGCCTGTACTTGTCATTTATCACTCCATTCATATTTTTTGGATTTGCATATACAGAGTGACTCAAAAAAATTAATGAATGCGTAAATATATTTTATTGATTTAATCAGGAACTACAAAACGGAATGCTCTGACATCTTGCAGATGTTTTAAGGTTATAAAGAGCATAATAAATGTTTAGTCAAAATATATTTGCTTATCCCCTCCAAAAACTTGATGACGTCAGCTCGAAAATTTGCCGAATAAATCATATCTAAAATGTACAAAATATGATCAGTCTGTACTTGTGATCTATCACTCCATTCATATTTTTTGGATTTGCATATACAGGGTGATTCAAGAAAATAAATGAAAGCGTAAATTTATTTTACTGATTTACTCAGGAACTACAAAACCGAATGCTTCGAAATCTTGAAGATATTTTAAAATTATCATAAGCATGGTAAATTTTTGATCAAAACGCATTTGGTCGTCCCCCCTAAAAAATTTATGATGTCACCACAAAATTTTGCTGAAAAAATCCTATCTAAAATGTACAAAATATGGTGAGTCTCTTCTTGTGATTTATCATTCCATTCAAATTTTTTCGATTTGCATATACAGGGTGACTCAAAAAAATTAATGAATGCGTAAATTTATTTTATTGATTTAATCAGGAACCACAAAACCGAATGCTTTGAAATTTTGCAGATGTTTTAAAGTTATAAAGAGCATAATAAATTTTTAGTCAAAATATATTTGGTTATCTTCTACAAAAAACTGATGACGTCAGCTCAAAAGTTTGCCGAATAAATCGTATCTAAAATGTACAAAATATGATGAGTCTGTACTTGTGATTTATCATTCCATTCATATTTTTGGATTTGCATATGCAGGGTGACTCAAAAAAATTAATGAAGGCGTGAATTTATTTTATCGATTTAATCAGGAATTACAAAACCGAATGCTTTGAAATCTTGGGAATATTTTAAAGTTATTATAAGCATGGTAAACTTTTGTTCAAAATGTATTTGTTCATCCCTCCTAAAAAAATTGATGACGTCACCCTTAAATTTTGCTGAATAAATCCTATCTAAAATGCAAAAAATATGATGAGTTTGTACTTGTGATTTATCATTCCATTCATATTTTTTAGATTTTCTTAAGAGGTGGTTCAAAAAAATTAATGAAGTCAATTTATTTTATTGATTAAATTAAAGGCAACACTTATTATTAGTATTACACCCCAACCAACCCAATTTGGTAGACACAAAATTTGTTAAAGGAAAAACTCGCAAAAAGCACGCTTATTTACATCGACTTTAACATTACAGACCTGCATTTGTTTTATGCGCTCACTTGGTTCCGCGAATGTGAAATAGACATGTTTATAATCAACCAATTGTGAATTTCACCGTCAAGAATTAAAATAAAACCCAATGTTTTATATAATAAGCGGAAGTCGAAGCAATAAAACCGATGGTCGTTTTGTTTACAGTTTCTCTGTTTGGCTCTCACGTATGCTGTTACGCCTGTCATCTTAAATTAAGAATGTTTATACATACACGATTTTCAGTTGCCTCTGATACGTATACGTGAGTAAATTGTTTCGTTATTTTATTGATTATTACAAATCAATATTCAAACGACCCAATTCATTTTCCCGAAAATTTGAGAATATAATAATTTTATTCTTAGTATTACACTACATCTATCCCAACTGATATACGTGTCCTTGCAAAAATGTTGATGACGTCATCGCAATTTTTTTTTAAATTCCCACTACAAAAATGTAATGAGAAAAAAAACACAATAGGCATGCAGTCGTCAAGTTTCCGACAGCGAGGGAAGTACTGTCTAAACTCTTTAGACCAATTTTTATTTCCTGCGCTTGTTCGCCCGACTAACAACCGTATAAACACCACTTAACAAGAATATTCGTAATTTAGCACATTTTATTGCTTTTCGACCTGATTCGGTAAACACCGAGGCAAATCAAATTGGAATTAAATGCACTCGTATTACTGGGTCAGTGTCCTCAAAAATAATAAAACGTCACACTATAAACATTGTTATCTGATAACATTTTTTTGCATTTCGGATTTTTATACCCCGCTCGACAGTAGGTAAACATTCACACTCCGGTGTTGGTGAGATTGTACGAAATTTCCGCTGTGGCATTAAAACACTATTTTGCGTACGCTATTTTTAAAATATGTGGGCTTTACTGTGACAAAAATAGGACTAAGGCGGCTGGCCCTACATATACTATTCACTTGACGTAATAAAAATATAGACACAGCGACTGTTGTTACTTATTGGTTTGAATTAATAATGAGTGTGTGTTGGCACTTCGTTCTCTATTTTTAAAAAATATGGAATACATTCAAAAAATGCGTAAGCTTAGGAAATAGCAGGCTAATTTAAACGTCAATTTATTAGTTTATATACGGGGTGAGTCACTAAGCGTGCGTCCTCGATTAATTATTATTATTTTTGAAATTACGATTGCCACGTTTTTCTGATTTTCTTGAATTTTTTTAACAAAAAAATTACAGTGTTTGTAAAAATGTTTTAATTATTACAATTTACAATCTTATTCTATTTTAAGTTATCTTTCTTTTTAGTGTTTTCTATATTTAGAGGTGATAGCAATTTTTTACCGTTTGAAGAGACACATCGACGTTTTAGAAGAATGAGGACAAAGATAGAGTCAGATACAGGGTGTTCCATTTGAAAAAAGTGAAATATCGACATTTGAAAACTCTAAAGTTTTATGTATAATTTTTTATAGACACTTTGTATATTAAAATCTGATTTAGTTGAAACCACACCAAAACGCGTACTTTTATCTATCCTTCCACAAAATATTGTAAGACTTTAAAAATAACCTTATTGCAATTTTTTTGTAAAACCTTCTTTCCATTGTCAAAAAATTTCAAGGAAATTGGAATAACGTGGCAAGGTCGCATCAGAAGTTCGAAAATAAACTGTGGTTGCAAAATTTTACGTAACTCCAATTTTACTTTCATATATAAAAGATATACAGGGTGTCATTTTTTTTTAATAGAACACCCTATATATTTTTAGATATTTCGATTGTCCTCGTTATAGGATTTACAACCGTTGTTTATTTTTGTAATTCCGATGCGACGTTGCCACATTATTCCAATGTTCTTGAGTCTTTTTTAGCAATGCAAGGGTTTATAAAAAAAAATCACATAGGATCATATTTATAATTTCTGTTACAATATTTTTTGGAAAAATAACCAGGGAATGGCGCTTTGTTGTGGTATCAATTAAATTAAATTCTGTCATACAGAGTGCTTATGAAAAAAATGTAAAGCATTACAATTTTCAAA